ATGCCAATGAGTTTACTCTCAAATTGTGTATTTTTGTAGTATATAAATGGTTTTGGGTCGCAGAAATTATATGCAAACCTAACATTGGGCTGGAGTATGGTATTTTACCCGCTCAATAAATAGCAAGCAGAATCAAGTTTTTGTATAGCTGTCAGTCGAGATCATAATAACATACAGGACCATGAAGTCAGCGTAATTAGATACATAATAACTCACTTGAGTGGTGTAAAACTCTTCCTTAACATAGCGACAATACCTATATACATATGTGTAGTACCAGTTTTAGACAGGCCATGGTGAGAATTTATTTTATGCTTCAAACGAGTTGCTATTAAGATTGCTTCATTTGTAAGCCAAGTGGATTTCTGAACACTGGTAGCCTAATTGTAATCAATGGATTGTAATTACTTGTAGGTAAATAGTTGCATTGTCGCTGAATGCATGCATTTGCAACTGAGTTGCATAAACGAAATCAGATCAATTAGCAGTCTTACAAGTCATAGAGTGCAATCAATCGGGTAGATTGTGTTGTTATGTTAATTTCAAATCACGTACAATGATCTTGAAATTTAAATTTGCTCTGGGAAGATATAAATTGGCAGTGGAGACAAGATGGCATAATAACGAAATAATTCCTCTTCAATTGAGAATTTGACTTTACTGTCAATGTATAAAAAGATCAGTGGTTGAAGATGAATGCCATTTTACTCTATTTTGTCTATTGTATGAGCAGTGTAGAGTTTACTAGATTGCTCACCGTTTCAGAGTCTATCCATCCAATGAGAAATGTGTTGCTCTTTTGAAATCACTAAACCCAGATACACAATATAAACTTAGGTAGAGGGTTCTCCAAACCTATTCACATAGTTCATAACCACCATAGACTCCGGTCAGTCAAAATGAACTGTAGGCATTAAGGAACGATTCTGCCAATGACGGAGAGATAGAATCTAGGTCAGGGGAAGCCCCATGTCCCCAAGATTCTTTTCCCTTACGACACGAACCACGTGACTGAGGCCATATGGCGGCGCCATTACGGCTGGCTAATCTTTCTGGTTCCTTTCTCTCCGCATTGAGGACTTAGATCAACGCTATGGAAAGAGTGGGGTGGTTGGGGGGAACAGTCTATGGTGGGTATGAACTATGTGAATATAGGCAGGTTCGGAGAACCCTCTGCCTAAATTCATTACGTTTAATTACCCAGTCAAAATGTCTATTTTTAACTGTAGGCAGAGTCAGATGCCAATAGGTGGTGGGTTTTCCAAGCAAACAGAAAAATGATGAAAGTCTCTTCCCAGTCCGGAATGAAACACTCTACAACAATCATT